AAAATCCATAGCAAATTTTTTTCAATAAACCATTACCAAAGCCATATTCATAAAACATATCATAAGTCATAACATGAATTCAAAGTATCATTTCCAAAACATATTTTCATTATCAGAGTAAAACATCCCAGGCTGAAAAATCAATGGTGTGTGCCATGCGATCACCACGAGCTCTTCCCTCTGCTATCAGAAGTACCCGAAACAACCATTAAAAACCATAAGCACAAAGCTTAGTGAGTTCCCCAACCTACCACATACCCTGATAAAAACACATACAAAATATATTGGGCCACGCCCGCTACCTTGGGCCTCGCCCTCTATAACGGCCCCGCCTGGCATCGAGCCCCGCTCGGATATAAATCTGTTTCACTTAGGCCTCGCATGTCATTGGTCCATGCCCGCTAACATATAATAGCACATAAACATATCACAACACATAAGCTAAACATACACTAATGGATCCTGTCCTAAGGCCTCGCCTATCTTAGGCCTCGCCCCTGACCTACTACTGATGAGTCGTGGAACCCCATCCACGCCCCTACTAGTGGTGAGATACGGGCCCAGGCTACACTCACTCTTTCCCTAACTTAGGCCTCACCCCTGATCTGCTGCTAATGAGATGTCGAACACCGTCCAGACTCTGCTATTGGTAAGATACGGGACCTCGCCCACACTCACCGCCCTACCAGGCACATATAAGTATGACACAGACAACAAGTATACTCTATCATGCAAACCATTCCATGGGCACCCTCCCGTTACTAATGGACCTTGGTCCTAAATATCATACTTGCATACAGTGACCAGGTCTAACCCCTGGGTCTTCCTACTCGTATCTACATGGGCCGACATTGTGGCATTAGACCCATTCACACAAATGGAAACTCATCTGGTACTGCTGAACTTGCTGGTAATCCCTCTGACCGCTGTCTGACAACTCTCCCTGAAATTATGCTCCACTAGCTCCCTGAGCTTCAATATCAATATAGCACATAGTCAAACTGTCCTTCGAAGCCAACTAAGTCCACTCGGTTCAAAGTCAAAGTCCTAATCAAAGTCAACCTTCCATGTCAACCATACTTGCCAAGTCTGCCTACTGACTCGCTGAGTTCATATGTTCAAAATCCTTTCAATAGCGACTCGACTCGCCTAGTTAGCCCCTGACTCGCCGAGTCTACAGATTTCAGAGTCCTGACCTGTCCAACTCACTGAGTCCCCACTCAACTCATTGATCCAAGTCTTAACTTGAAGGGTTTGGGGTTTCGCGACTAGAATCGCCGAGTCTAAGAACAGACTCGCCAAGTCCAAGGCAATCTTCAACAGACTCTATGAGTTGTTCATCCAACTCGTCGAGTTCATCTCTATCTTCATACTACTCATCGAGTCCACTCGAAGGACTCGCCGAGTCTATTTAGTCTTTCATACAGTCAGAGGCTTTTGAGTCATGCATGGACTCCAAACTGCAGATCCATTCTTCGAAAGCCTATTCCACACATAAAGTGGCAAACTTTACATTTAGCTAAGGATATTTAGACTCAAAACACTATAAACTAGGGTTTAAGACAAGGAGGCTTTACAATCAACCCATAGACTGTTGCTTTATGATCCTCTAGGCCAAGATACACTTAGATCTGAAGTAGCAACTTCAAAACATGGTAACTCGAAATGGTTCTTAAACATGCCCCTAAAGCCCCAAATCTCATGTTAAAGGTTGATCTATATGCAAAAGAGTGAAGTTAGCGACTCATTACCTTCAAATGCTCTGAAAAATTCCACAAACTTTGGATCTACTGCCACTACTTGAATCCCTAATGGTTCCCTTCTACCTTCTTCCTTTAAATCACCTAAAATGACAACAAAACTTGAATGTGCAACAATGGAGGCTTAGGGTTTCGTATACTGGATAAGAGAGATTACAAGGAACCCTAAGGGAGAGAATGAGAATCTTAAATAGTGCATAAAGTGCCGGATTTAGGGTTCCCTTCTTCAGACCGGACTCGCCGAGTCCTCTTTGCCGACTCGCCTTGTTGGTTACTTACTCGATCGCTTGGATCCTGCTCCTACTCGTTGAGTTGACCCTTTGACTTAGGGTTTTCTTTCCTTTCTTGGCCTTTTAGATTTTGAGTGTTACAATGGGACAATTAGATTGAAATGGGTAACTCGAAATAAAGAAGTCTTGCATCTAGTACATTTTATAGTCCTACAACATATGATGATCATTTCTCCATACGTAAACGAGCACAAAATATATATAGAAATGTCAAAATAGTGGTAAGAGCTAAAGATGGTTGATTATAGAACATAACAAAAGATTCTCACACTGGTTAAAAGACAAAGTGAAAGCAAGTTATGGCATGAACAATGTTGATCAAGCTGTTGTACATCTAGCAAATGGTCATTTTCATGTTGTGGCAACGTACCAAGGGTACGACATTAATGGTTATACATTCTACACTAATCAGCAAGATAAAAAAAACTACACTTCAAAATAGTGGAGTAACGTTAATAGCCTCAACAGAATTATATGGAGATAATCATGATGCAAGATCAAGGATGGCTATAGAGTCATATTATGGTGTCATTCAAGAAATATGGGAATTAAAATATGTTGATACATGAAGTGGCCTTCTTAATTTTTCCTACCGTAGTCTGCAAGCATCCGCAGTCAAGCCTCAATCAGCAGCCACATCCGAAGTCTTCTAGACGACCATAGTCATCTTTCTGTACTTAGTTTACTTTTAGCTATCTTTCGGTAATACTCTTTATTGTTCACTATGCCTTTCATGGCTACTCTTAGAGAGTGAATCACTTGTATTTCTTGAGTCTCTATAAATATAACTCACGCTTTATCAACCAATACAAATATCACTTTACTCATCTCTAAATCTGAATTATCTTCGAGTTTTCCTTACACATGTCATATCTTTCTTACTCTCTAAAATCCTCTCGAACATAAATGATTAATACTTCTCTTCGGAGTAAGTCATTCGTGACTTTATCACTAAGATTGATCTCACTAATTAACTTGGTTTGAATGCATTCCATGTTATGAATCAACTTATGTGTTTACTTGATATATTACCTGTTGTCATTTATGTTTCCATACTTTTCCGCAACTAACTATCTAACTATCTAACATGTTAACTTATTATTGTTGATATTTTAGATCCTTTGAGATTAACTAATTCTACAACTATACTTGTTCTAACGTTTGTTCAAGTGTGTCTCAAGTTTTTCTCTAAACAATTGGTACTAGAGCCATGGTGGTTGCTTCTTGAAAAACGGAACTCAGATTTTTCAAAGGGCCTTTTATACCACTGAAGCTCATTTCTTAAAACAAAAATGGCACAAGCACTTTCTCTAAATGTTTCCAACAGTGTTGGTGGCTCAAATCGAGCTCCAATATTGGTTGCAAATGAATATCATCACTGGTCTCAAAGAATGGAAAGATACTTAAGGAGGCTTGGTAGAGACGTATGGCGATCTGTTGAAGAAGGACCACATCTCCCTGTTCTTACACCTATTCAAACTGATGGCGCCACAGCCAGACTAGGAGGAGGACAACCAGTCTTGAACGGTAAATGTAATGTTTAATTTAATTAAAAAAAAAAAATTGGAAGTTCATATTTTCAATTTCTGCAATCCAAAAAGTAGAATGTAGGTATTAGTATTTTTCTAAAATTTCACTTTGTAAAAATTTCATTTTTTGATCATTAGTATTAATGTATTAGTTAATTGTAATTTATAAGATTAATATGAAAAAATTGAAAATATCATAAAGTTACTTTCTTGTCAATCTTCATTTCTTTTTTTTTTTTTTTTGTCATTTTTATTCACTTCCCAAACTTTATCTCTTATCTTGTTATATTTCAATTTTCAAATAAGAATTACCAATATTTCTCTTTACTTCATCATATTTCAAGATCTTAAGAACAATAAAACAACTTGAACATTTAAGAAGACGAGAGGTCCAATTAGTAGAGATGCAAAGAAAGGAGACACGGTCGCCCAATATGAGATGAAAACTGAGGAGTATAGTTGGAAACGGTGGAGCAATGACGGTAATTTTGATTTTAGGGTTTTCACCCTTCTTGATTTTCTTTTGATATTTTTTACCTCATTTTTTTTTTAAATTCAACATTTGTTTTGATAATTTATGCCTGCATAATTTATTTATAAAAAATATTTGTTTATTTTAAGTAACCAACATCTATATAAGTTTTGATTATCTTTTTTTTGATAAATAATGAATTGAATCTATAAAGGTTATTGATTTTTTTTTTGTAAAACTCGCAATGCATTCACTCTCATAGTTGAATGACATTTAAACTACAAGAATTCACACTTCCTTTCCCATTATGCCCCTACATATCCACACTGTTAGAAATATTACTAGCAAGAACATACTGCTGATTCTTTTGCTAATTCCAAGCTTTAAATCAAAATTAGGTCTAGACATCACAACCTCATCCATAGAAATTTCCCGGATCTTAGAAAGATTAGTAGTATTACCTGATGGATTAGAGATTCCGTAAATAATCGAAAGCAACATCTTATTAACTTCAAGTCACATGGAATTGAAACTGAAACCTAGTAGGGATCTTTATATCTCTTAGGTATTAATAGAATTTTATATGTTTTTTAATGAATCCATAGTTAGGGTGAATTGTTTTTCTGATGCTAAGAAATAAAAATAAAAATATGTTATAGGTATGAACTGAAATACAAGTAAAATGCATACATCTTTTGATTATGAATTTGTATCAGGTGAAAAGTTATTTTATACATGTTATTTTAGCTTATATAGGTGAACATTTTGTTTGTACTCTAAACTTTATATGATTTATTTGCTAACTAATTCAAAGACTGCATTTTGGAGCACTATGTGAATAGTTAAAATTTTGATACTCGTCTAAAAGCAGCTACTGTAACAACACATGAAGTGTAACATTTATGATGTCTCATATTATTCTGTATATATTTCCTCCAGAATAAATATGATGAATGAACAGACACAAGAAGAAGTAGAACCAGAACCACAACCACAACAAGAACCAGAACCACAGCCACAACCACAACCGAGGAAAAAAAGAACAGCCACAAGACTAATCGACCATAAAGAGCCACAAGAAGTTGATTTCAACAATATTGGTAAGAAACAAAGTATGTTTGCTAACGATTGTGGTGTTATTACGAGGTCGATGATTTTTGTTGAGTATACTAGTTGGAAGAAAGTGCCAATTGCTCAAAAAGATATGCTATGGTCGACAATTAAGGTTCGATATTTACATAAGACCCATTACATATACTTTCATCTAATCAATATGTGTTATTAATATATAGTATCCTTATTCTAAAACAAAAACAGAAACGTTGGAATATTCTGAATGACAACCGTAAAAAAGATGTGCTTAGAACATGCAACAGCCAGTGGAGAGCCTTCAAGAAAAGGTTTAAAAAGAAATGTGATAACCAAAGCGATCCACTTGTGACCTACTCATATTTGGAAAGAAGTACATTGCAGAGCTTTAGACATTAGAGGAGTTCCAAGTGTATTGGGCTTTAATTGCAGGTAATTAAATTACTTATTTTGTTGCATTGTTTTAACTGTGTTAATTAATTTCATTTGCAGGAGATAAGTGAGAAAGTGAGGGCGAGTTCAATACATAATGAGAATCCTTCCTGTGTAGGACCACTTGGTTACAGGGGCAAGAGAGCTAAATGGGAACAAGAGATGGCATCTTGTCCATTGACACCCCAATTGTATTAGGTAAAAAGAGAGTGTTCATTACATTATGTTATGGGTAGAAGATCTAAATATGAGTTGGGGTCGAGCATAATACCGCCTACCATACAACCCATAGTGGACAAGCTTGTAAGCAAATTCTTTTAATCATTTATATCTAAGTAATTACTCTCACTGGTTTACTATTTTTGTTAATAGGTTGATGTCCAGACTCAAATCTCTGAAGGAGATTTGGTGCTCAATCCAGGAGAGGACTTGTTGACAAAGGTAATAGGACCGGAGCACCCAGGTCATACCAGGGTTGTTGTTCATGATGTTGCATTGAGAAAAGGGATGCAAGGGACTGATAAAAAAAGAGGAAAAAACATGAAAACTGAACTATTGATAAACTGCAGGTAACGATAGATCTGATGGGCTCCCAACTGGCAAAGCTACAAGAACACTTTGACTTACAACATGTGTCTAGGAACCATGCCCCAGATGATGTAAGCTTAGGGGTTCAGCATACTAATTGTAGCTCGACTCCAAAATTAGATGCTTTGGATGAGAAAAAGGTAAATGAGTGTATTTAGTTTCCAGTAACATCTAGAAACAATAAAAACTAAACCTTTTAACGTGTTAGTAGAGAAATTATTACAGTATTTGTGTTAGAAAATGCTACATTCTAAGAATTGTGTTTGAGTTTACCTTAATATCATCATTTTGGTTGCATAATTGAGACAAAAGACTCTAGTTTTTTAATTAAAATGTTTTCTTAGAAGGGTTTGAACTATAAAAGATATACTTTGAATGGTTAAAAATTCAAGTATAGTTATTACATTATTATGCACTTTTTTGTTTATTATCGTTCAAAGATCTTTTATTTTTATTTTTATAATTGTTTTACTATATGTGTACAGATGCCTTCCCCTTATGAATCGATGTTACCCTACGGGGAGTTGGACCAAAAATGTGCCAAGGGATCAGTTTTTCCATATGGGAATGGGTTAATACACAGATTGCCATTACGAGAAAATCACCTGAAGGTTATGATAGACGACATCGATAGTATATATGAAAACTTTCCTCTTTCTGTGATGACAAAAGAAGTTGCTAACCTACAAGGGGCGGTTTGCACTGTAATTCAATGGCCCCAGATTGCAATTATTCTTGCAAAGGTACATATGCATTATCCTTTACTTTTAAGCTACTATATAATCAAAAAATTATAATTGTATGTGATATTCAGATGAATTAAAATGTAGGAACAAAGAGCGAAGAAACAAATTCCAACCACAAGTTTGGTGCCAACAATTGCAAGGCTGGTACAAACAAGAACATACCCAACCAAACATCCAGCAAGGCGAGGCTGATTGAATATCTTCGTGATTGCTTGAAGACTAACCAAGTGGTTAACATTGTAGCTGATTCTGGGATTTTGGAAGTCGGGACATATGATTTTTTGATTACATGTGAATAATATTTTCAATTGTTGAAAAAACAAACAATTGATGCTTCCATCATAACTGCTTGACACCTGTAAGTCCATAAAAATTTTACTATTATTAGTTGACCATATTTTTTTTTGTTTTCTTGTTTGTAGGATTCTTCATTCAATGGTTCGGACACGTATGAACAAATGTCCTTTCTTGAACCCTTATAATATTATAGGGGAGGCATGCCAAAAAAACCCAGAGGGTGTCGTTAGTTATCTTGTTGATTCCATTCATCTGCAACACGAAAAATTGTTTCTGATTGCACCATATTTGCAAAAGTACAATAATTTCTTATCTTTATTATTATAACTATGTTTATTTATACCAAATGTTTAAACATTTCTAGTAAGCATTGGGTGCTCTTGGTGATTTCCCTTCGCAATCGCATTGTCTATATTTTGGATTCTCTTAAGGTTCCTATAGAAAAGTCTGTCGAATACCATTACCTGCTCAAAAAACATGTGGACATGTAAGAAATTACTTACATCATAGCAAGATATATATCTTTTTATTATTTTGAACACAACACTTGTTTATTTCTTTTAAGGGCTTTCACGAGGTATGAAAAAGACACTTCAACCCCAATTGGATGGATTTTTGTTGAGGTAATTCATTTTGTTATGTACCTAAACAAATAATTGTTGTAGTTTCATTTGTTTGATTAATGTTTACTTATTGCTACAATATTTAATGCAACTAACAACTTAGTGGTTTAGAGAGAGGGCATTATGTAATGCCATGGATGTTTGATTTCTTGACGACAAGACATCATGAATTTCTTAGTAAAGTAAGTACGGTTTTTAATATTTGTTCATTTTGTTTATTGCAAAAAAATATTTTTTTTGTTAATGAATATGTTTAATTTTACATTTAATATAATCCGGTAGCATTTGGGATGACAAAAGTTCCTTTGAAGAAAAAGTGTTGCTTGCAAATGTTGCTACCTGGTCTAGAGGATTTTTTGGAGAATCCCTCTGGCGAGTCAAGAATAATGTTTTTTTTTATGCAAGTTGTATGATATATGAAATTATCAAATCCATGATTTATTTTGCTACTTAGACAATTGTCTTTGTTTGATTATATTTTTATCAATGACTATTATAGTTTATTTAACATTTCCACATAAAAAAAACATTGTATATCTATATAATGTGTGTTATAAATTGATACTCTATAACTATTGTACTGTTATTTTTATAAAATGATATTAGAAAATATATAAGAGTGCTCAAAGGAATCAGTTGGTTATCTAGAAACCAGGTTCTAAGCCTATTGTGGGATGATTTGAACTTCAAGGGGGAGAAGCCTTGGCATTTATTCCTATACTTTCGGTCATATCTATAGTTGAATCTTCGGGAGATGACATGTCAAAATTTTGTAGCAAAGTAGCCAGTACAATGTGCAACATATGAAGTGAAAAAGAAAACCCGGGACACGACCTTCTTCCGGCACCAAATGGCATTAACTCAAAGTTTGTCCCCCTAACATCTACATGCGCTTGAGTCCCAGAAAGGAACCTTTCAGGCCTAAATTCCGATGGATCTGACCAGATTTCTGGGTCATGTTGGATCTTCCATATGTTGACAATCAACCATGTGCCTTTTGGGACATGATATCCAGCTACATTGCAATCTTCTGAAAATTCTCTTGGAGCTGTAAGTCGTGCTGCTGGGTATAACCTCAGTGTCTCCTTTACAACAGCTTGGAGGTAGACTAGTTTGCTAATATCATAATCATTAACTCGTCTACCCTTTCCAACGTGCTTGTTAATTTCCTCTTGAACCTTTTGGAGAGTACCGGGATTGTTCAATAGCAGTGAGAGCATCCATGTTAGAGTGACAGTGATGGTATCCACACTACTAGCAATGATATCCTGTAAAAAGTTTAAAGTATTTAGGAACCATACATCAAGATTTTCCCTGGAGGGTGTTTTTGCTTTCACAATCATTACATGTTCATGTTCTAATATAAATTAAATAAAATGCATTTGTATTCAACCATATATCTTACTTAGACTCCCTCTACATGTTAACAGTTTTTCTATATAAGAAAAAGTCTTAGATAATTTTTGACTTATAATTAAACAACATTAAAAAATAAGATTGATAATAAAAATTCTAACATCAGTTAATAATAACCAAGGTTCTAAATAACGTAAGGCGTGACTTGACGGCAATATCAAGCCTCAAGCTTTTCCGAGCCTTGACAAGTCACGTCGTTTGTAAGGCGTGACTTAAAGCAGCAATTTTGTATATAATTCATATTTTTATATGTATTTTCAACTATTATTTATGTTTATACACATATATGAGTCAAGACGACGTTTTGGTAAAGTCCGGCGGCACATACAAGCCTTGGAGCCATGGAAAGCTTTTTAGAACCTTATTATCTGGTCGATGGAAATTATCCTGAGTATGTTGTGTTTGTTAAATCATTTACAGCTCCACATGGTTATAGATGAAAGAAATTCAAGAGAGCTCAAGAAAGAGCTAGGAATGATGTTGAGCGTGCTTTTGGAGCTCTGGGGAAATGGTGGTTCATATTGAAAAAACCAGCAGCTTATTTAGGCGAGGAAAACTTCATGAAATCATGTATACATGTCTTATATTGCATAACATGATTATTGATGACGAAGGAAGAGCGATATGTGCATTTGATGAGGAAGAAACCATACCATAGACATAGCCAATAGAAATTGTTGGCGAAGAGTACATAAACAGGAGAGCAGAGATACGTTGCACTAAATCATTTAACAATCTTTGCAATTACTTGGTGGAACATATTTACGGGGTTCAAAACATTAACTTTAATTCGGATCCACCGGATGACCCCGAAGACGAGTTCTCGGATAACGACTTTATATAGTTTGCTTTAGTTATTTTATTTGTGTTTTTTAAGTTTCTAAGATTATTTAAATGTCATGTGTGTGGTTTTCGTGTTTTTTTTTTGGTAATGCAATGTAATGTTTTTTTTTTTTTAATTTTCAAGTAATGAAAAATTATGTATTTTTTATTAAAATAGATGTTTTATTAAATTAAAATAGTTAAAAAAAATTTTATTAAATCAAAATAGTTAAAAAAAACAAAAAAATAAAATAAAATGTGTGACACCACTCCCTTGGTGTGACAAGAAACCACACTTAAGTGGTAAAAAATGATATGACGCTTATATGGCATGCAAAAGAGTACGGTTTCGATGACACCACTCTCTACAGCCTAACACATCAAGGGATTTTCAATACTATCATCAGTAAAGATGGTAATGATGATAATTGGAACCTAACTATTCACTACCAATACTGACCACCCAAATCCAACCACCCAAGAAAGGAAGTGCACCCCCACCATAAAAAGCCCCAAGAAATGAAAAAATTCCCTAAACACTTCACCATACCTGTTCATGTCATTCTCTTTTTCACCATAATCCTTTTGACCGGCTTTTGACCTGTGATAGTTGGTCAAATGGTTATGGTGAACACAAACAACAATTTCGATGATATATTGAATACAAAAAAAAAGGGACCAAATGAGAATGAACTCAACAGTTGGTTGCCCTCCTGAGACATTTTCCCCGAAAAGTTAAATGAAATTAAAATTGCAAAATTATCAAAGACTGCAACCTTCTTTGGCTATAATGTATATGAAGAACGTTTCAAGTGGGTAACCTTGTTAAAACATATTCTATGTTATGCTTACTATGGTTAACTATCAACACCTCTCTACAAAAGGTTATGACTGTGTATGAGAGGTATATTTATCAGCATAAACGTTTACCTCAAACTATATTTTGGTGATGTGTCTACAAAAGCAGCATGATATTGTACATATTGATGTTGTATCTTATCCTATGAATTCGATTTTAAAGCTAAGTAAACTCAAAAATCATAGCACTTGTGATTCCACTCGTTTGTAGACTTGTCTAGAGTCCATGATACGATAAATCATTTGATTAGAAATGTAAATGTAGTCATGAAATGCGCCTGCTTAGTCAAGATTCCCCTAATAAATATTCAAGTGCATTACAAAGTTGTACGTGTATGAATAATGTTCTTTCGTGATATATATTTTGAAGAGAAGCAAGAATGAATTTCATAAAGTGATTAATATCAATAGAAGATGACGTGATATTTGTAAATAAGTAAGGGAAAATGAATCAGGAGGGTAACTAACTGTTGCATTTGTTCTCATTTGGTCTTTTTTTTTGTACTCAATATACCATCGAACTTGTTTGTGTTCACCATAACCCTTTGGCCGGCTATCACAAGTCAAAAGCGGTCAAAAGGGTTATGGTAAACACAAATAACAAGTTCGATGGTATATTTAATACAAAAAAGGAAAGGGACCAAATGAATAGAAACACAAAAGTTAATTACCCTCAAGAGTTATTTTCCCAAGAGAAAACTAGGGCACACCGATACGTCCAATTACGAGAATACATTATTAACGATTATTCTATGTATGATATCATTTGAGCAAAACCTAAATAAAAGCATTATCATAAGGAGTGAATGTATATAAAAAACAATAAGAACTTATTTTGGGAAAAAAAAAAAAACATTAAGAATTCAATATATACAAAATGAAAACTGAAAATGGAGTATACGTTTATAATTTAAAATAACTGGTCATAAAAATTAAGTTTATTTTGAATGTATACAAAATAAAGAACCTATTTTAAGAAAAAAAAAAATTAAAAACTGAACCTATACAAAACCAAATTATGATACCTTATTAAATAATTTCTCCAATTTTTAAGAGATTATTTAGCTTTTTCAAAAATGAGAGTTTGATGTTCCACCATTGGTTTCCTTAAAAGAATTGCCACACCTCATGGCCAGATAAAGTGCCATATAAACCTCGATACATGATATTATAAGATTATAAAATAGTCGTCGTGTCCATATAAGTTATATCTTTTTATTTTTTATTTATTACCGAAATTAAAGAAAAAAAACACATTTTTTCTAAAAAAAAATTAATTCTTTATAAATTAAGCAAATAAAGCTTATTTTAATAAAAATAAAAAATTAATTTTTTTTAACGGCAGATACAAATATATATATATATATTCCTAAATTATTTCAAATATATCCTTAGTAAATGGAGAATAAGGTCGGATACCACCTGGTTAAAAACCCTTTGGTATAAAAATAAATACATAAATTTAAAAAGTATCGTGTTTTATTAATAAATATTTCAATACAAACCAAAATTATAAATCGTCATATTTTGTTTCTACTCTATTAATAAATATTTCAATAAACCTAAAATTATAAATCGTTTTAATTCTTGTTGGATTGTTTAAAACGATTTTACTTGTTGCGTGTGAAGATCCGAATGGGGTGGTCACTATAAAATACATTGGTATCATTGGCGATAAAAAACGCCGCTAAAACATTCAAATATCGCCACTAAAGGCAATAACAACGACCAATCTCCACTAATGCTTCGCTAAATGTCGCTAATACGATCGCCGTTAATACCATACATTTTTACCTAATATTTATGTCGCCACTAATAATGAATGTTGTCGTTAATACCACTTTTTTTAAAACCAACAAATTTTAGGTGCAGAAAAACCAATACAAAATACTAAAAACACTGAAGCATTAATTGCAGAAAAAAGTGATACAATAAGACTTGTCAACTAAGTACCAAAGGTGTTATTATATCAAAAACATTCCGAGTTAAGTAGAAATCTTACACATTTCTCATCTGTATAGATCGTAAGGAGTAAATCCAAACATGGCATAGTTATATCCCATAATTTAACCATCTTTAAACATTGGGAAAAAGAGATGATTAGATCATTGGTAGTGAAAAGCTCTTTAGCAATCTCGCAACTATTCACTACCAATACTTAACGGACTCCTAAACTAATGGGAAAGAGTAGTCCATGTTTTACAGCTGGATCCCAATGTTACGGGTGTAACAACGTCAAGTCAACTCCTAAGATCCTTAAGCTACTCGAGTACATTATCGAGTCGAGCTTGAGTATTGGAATACTCAGCTCGTGAAGCTCACTCACGAGGTTAATCAAGCATTCTTATTTTTACACATTAATCCTTTTGTTTTATTCCTATTTACATACTATAGAGATGATTCGAGTCGATTTCATGAGATTAACGTCCTTTATATTGTAATTTATATTGTAATATTATTTTTTTAGTTGTTCAGCGAGTTAAATCAATGGGAGCTTGAAAGTGTCGATTACCATATGGAGCTGGAGCTTGAACCACAACAAGAAAACAAAGTATTAGGGAAGCCACTTATAGAGACGACAAGACCTTTAGCGATAACACCAGACAAGCCATGCTTGGTGTTGCCGCTATAAGACAATATCGTTGCTAATAGCATTTCCGCTAAAGTTATGAACCAGACATTTGTCGAAGACACATCACCTTCAATCTTGGCCCTTGGTCCGGAACATGATCAAACGAATAGGGTTCATTCCTGTGTAAGGCAATAGTGACAATACCTTTAGCGGCGACATGTCTTCCCTATTGGTGTCATCTGTTGACCCACATTGTACGAAATCTTGGCCCTATAATTGTTACCCAATCCAACGGTCAATAATCTCTCGAAATGGCACGTTTAGTTCCCTCCAGCTTGCCGCTGCTATTAGCCTCTAGGTCACCGCTATTAGCGTCGCCGCTAAAGGGTTACCCCTTTTGTTCAGCTTCCTCATACTAAACGGCGTATATTCTGTCAAAACTATCCAATGGTTCTCTCCGACTATGATTTACGACATCACCGCAGCTTCCACTGATTCCATTGCTCTCCACCCTTTTCGAATCGCTGACTGACACCGCCGATTAACCTCCCTTGCTGGCTACCACACCCTACTGACGACCACCTCTATTTCCGACTATAACCTCCGATTACGATCTGCTAGCATTGGCCACATTTTTTTTCTCTACCCATTTCTTTTTCTCTTCTTTCTGACCAG